GAAAAATTAAATGTGTGCTTTTTGCACCTTTTGAAGCTAAAGAACTTAGAAATGGTAGCCATATTTTTTGTTTGAAATACCAGTTTTTTAGGGATTTGTGACTAGTCAAAAATTGAAGTGTGCTGCAGTTTTATGTTCCAGTTGTACCTTAATTCTTTGAAATTGTATTTATTAACAGTATTGCACATCAAGCTCAATACACATATGCACACACTACAATCTGATTATTTCTCATGCATTAATGCCATATTTAGTGGGCAGTAAAATTACATGTGCAGTTAAGTGCTGAATTAATTGTTCATAATCTGTTTTCAATGAGATGCCACCAGCATCTGTTTTGGGAGGATTCTCAATGGCAAAATGTGCCTTCAAGTTGTCAAAGTTACTTGCTTTCATTGTCAGATATCAATCATTGACTAGGATCTGCAGGACAAAGGCAAAAGTTTGGATCAAAGTTTTGCCTTTATTTCATTGCATTAAAAGATGATTGTTTCTATGATCTATAATGGTATCAAGGATGCTTAGGGTACTGAAAACAGTGTTACATTGATTGTAAACAATGATCACATTAACCAATTCTGTTCCAGATATTTAAAGCAGCCAAGCCAAGCAAGGTATGTCTCTAAGGACAATGCAGCCTGCAGCTTTGGATGCTGCTGGTGGAGCAAAACAGCACCATTTCTATCCATATGCTGACAATGGCGGAACAGTAGTAGCCATCGCTGGAGATGACTTTGTGGTGGTGGCATCAGACACCCGTCTGAGCTCTGGGTACAGTATTTACACCAGGGAGCAGAAGAAGACCTTCAAACTCTCTGACAGCACCATTCTGGGAAGTACTGGCTGCTGGTGTGATGTGCTCACAATGACTAAGGTTCTGGAGGCAAGAATGCAGATGTACAAGCATGAGCACAACAAGCCAATGTCCACTGGGGCTGTTGCTCAGATGCTGTCCACCATGCTCTACCACAAGAGGTTTTTCCCGTACTACGTGTCCAATGTGCTTGCTGGTCTTGATGAAAATGGAAAGGGCATAGTGTATCACTATGACCCAGTTGGGCATCACGACCCGGGCAAATGTTACACCGGAGGATCCGGAGGTCAGTGCTGGATTCTTCACACTTATATGTTTGTATTACTAATCCTCTTGTACCTTCCACATATGTGACCCTGGTTGTGGCTGACTGGTTTTACAGATGATCTCTCATTACATGCTTTAGATGGGTTCATATTTTGCGAACATTAGGTGTCCTTTTAACTTGGACTTGAAATCCTACTCTATCCTCTCTGTTTATGGAGTGATTTCTTAACCTTTCCAGGTAGTTTACTGAATTTTCATGAAATGTCCGGTGATTAGTGGAACACATTCTGAAAGCAATATTATTTTGATGCCAGGGCTGGCCAAGAGGGCGGTTGCCAGTATTAGTCCTTGCCATTCTGCATGTGCCCATGGAGTAGGCACTTTAAAGTTTCCTCTGGCATTGTATTGTTTGACATAATGCCTCATCTGGCTTAACTCGGTGGGTTAATTTATCATGTGAGTCAGTTATTTTATACAAGGTCACATTTCCAACTCATCAGACAATCGGAGGTATCTTTAGGGTTGTTACTGGACATGAATTGTTTTGTATGTCATGTGTCATTTTAGTTGTTTCTACATTAGAATGACCAGGATAATCACTTTCCCTTTAAACTCACCAGGTCCGATGATACGCCATGTGCCCTTGTGGTTGCATCACAAAGCTTATTTCGACAGGGGCCCTTATCCAACCGCTTCTGGACAACCAGATCAACTACAAGAACCAGGAGAACGTGACGCCCGAGGCCCTCACCATACCGAAGACGGTGAGCATCATCAAAGACGTGTTCACGTCGGCCTGCGAGCGGGACATCTACACCGGCGACTCCGTGGCCATCCAGGTGATCACCAAGGACGGCATCAAGGAAGAAATGTTCCCACTGCGCCGCGACTGAACGAAGCTGTCTCATCCAGTGTTGACTGTCCAATTGGAAAATACATGGTTCTGGAATGGTAGCAGTGTTTTCTGACCGACTGCAGGCTGAGGCCCCAGCACCAGATTTGTGACTGGATGCCAAAATACCCCGGGCCCTGAAGATTAAAACCCGTGGAAAAGGTTTCACATGGATCTTCCATCCTTAAGGGTGCCTCGAACGCCTTCGACAAAACATTGGAAATCAATCTGTGTGCCAGAGAATTGATGTTTGGAAATGAATGTCGATGTGAAGAGGAAGAAGTGCTATATATGTATATATATATATATATATATATATATATATATATATATATATATATATATATATATATTGCTTTTAAGCTATAGTGGGTGATGGGCATTTTCACTTGGTTGGATTTCACGGAAATAGGCACGTACCTTTCAAGGTCGGATTTTTGCGTCATCTCAAGGATTTAATCACAAGTAGTACCACTCTGCAATAAACAAGTAAGGGAACAGCCCGCCAGACAACATTCTCGACCCATGATCGTACCCCCGCCTCAACGGCGTATACCATGCACCATCGTGGGCGAGAGGTCTGGAAGTCACAGTGGAATGATACTCTCAAGAATAAACGTGACACACTGTGGCGTTCTGTGCGATGCACTTCTGTTTCATTTAGAACATTTTTCTGTCATTTTTGTTCTATTCTCCAACAGGTCCATGATTTAGTCGCGTTCATTGCTGTAGTAACACAATCGTCATCTTCTGTGAGCCTACTTCGCGGTAGTTTTAAGCTCCGCAGTCCTAACATTTGTATTGGGTGGGTGTTCATGAGGGCTCACGTTAAACAGGGCCTGTTACGTGAGCCCTAACGCCAGCTTCCCGTGGTGAAATTTCAGTTCATCGGCAGAATTTCGTGGTGAAAATGTAACGGGGCCACAATGCTCGGCACGTCACTACCGCGCCCTCCGACATCATCTAACCCTGAGCGGACGCTGCCCATGGCCGTGGGTTATACGGTTCGGGCTGGGTATTGTCTTGCGTCTGCCTGGCGGCCACTGCTGGAACTACACTTTTGCGCTGGGCCCGTGGTGTCGGGGCGGGCGTGTTTTGCTATAGAGAGCGAGTGCGTGGTGCTGTCGCTGCTGTTGGAAGCTGTTGGCAGCGGCCTCTAAGATATGACGTGTATATGCTTCGCACCAAGCCCTTTCATGTTTTGTTATCCGCCCACAGTTATGAAGATAAAGGTGATGATAATCCCAGTCAGGGGCAAATGGCGAGCGTCGCAGCGACCCGTCCAACGCACCCCGAGTGGGTAAGGTAGAGGGGGGGGGGGGGGGGGCGCAGGCGCTCCGACCTATTGAGCCACGGGGCAGACACGAGCAAGATCTTGCGAGTTCCGTTCACACGAAACGTTTGGCGGCTCTTGGACTGGTCACACATGGGGCTTTACAAAGATGTAGGCCGTGAAAGCGATGCTAGTATTATACACACTGGGTGGCAAATAACTTGTTGATGAACTGGCGGACCTGTGGATATCAGCATAAGACAGTTTTTAATAACAATTGAAATAATTTTCAGGTGGCAAACATAAGCAGGTGCCTGGCGTCGTCGAGTCGTCGAGACTTTGGCATGATTTGAATCCAATGTGTTATTTTTTGCGATATTCACGTGTCCCAGTTAATCAAGCAGAAATGTAACATAGCGGTGATAGTCAGGGCCACAGGATTACGTCGCCCGGTCAATCAGCCTGCATTGAAGTACTCTGAAAAAGTTGCCGAAAACTTCGCGGCGAGACTACCATTTTATTTGTGGCGTCCACATCCACACTTTTGATCTTTATAGCAAAGATCAGAAGCGTGCGTGGCACGGTCGGCCGGGCGGCTGAAGCCATACATAGTCCGTTTAGCTTCACCTACTCGAAGCCTTGTGCAAGATCTCCTCGACCTGTGGCCTCAAGACCGTTCAGATATTATGGTATGCGTGAGAAAGGAGGGGCGTTTTGATGGAACTAAATTGAGGTGCAATAAGCGGTAGGGGGTGAAGGTTGCACAGCGTAACGTCAAGCTCAAGTGTGGCTGTTAGTCACGCTCAAATCTTGTAAAACTTGTAATGCCTTCTAGTCGGCTACCAATGACTTCCTCTGATAACAGGCAACACGTCAAACATTTGTTTCGCATCTATCTCAATTAGGGACTAATGAAGCGGCACGCCAAACGCTGATTTGCCGAGGGCACGGGTCTTCTAATGCAATCGGGGGAACAGAAAGGGAGTGGCGAAAATGGCTAAAAAGGAGTCATATCTGTGCACGTCCACGAACAACACATTACGCACAGCAGCGCGCTATTCTGCAAAATGTAAACACCATTGTGTTTGAGTTCAACATTGCACGATATGTAACCGTCGTTGAATCGTAACAATTTGAGCAACATAGTTCTGTCGAATAAGCTATTGCAATGTCTGATGTATGTTTTGTTACCAACACAAGCTGTTCCGAAACATATTGTGCAAATCCCTTGAACGTTACCGGCAAAGCTAAGTTGAATCTAAATGAGCAAATATTTCTAGGTTTTGAAGACGTGCACGGAGTCTATGGGAACAACTGCGCGGAAGCGGTCCGGCGGAAAGCATGCCCCCTCCCCCCCCCAGGATTAATTTAACTGGACAGATGGTTTGAATCACGTACACTTGGGAGCGTTTGTCAATAGCTAAATTTCCACCTAAATAAGCATGGCACTCCCTTCCCCAGTCCACTCCTGCACAACTCTAGTCTAATTATTTTAACAGCCAAGTTCACCAGGCACACAGAAACACTTCGCCTGTTCCAGACGTGTATTATAACCCTCCTGGTACAAAACACCAGTCGATAGGAGCGCACGGGCGGCTTGCAGACCGCTCCACCCAACCTGGCACACCTGAGCTCGCTACACCCACGCAGACTACCGCCGGCGGCGACGGGGCCGGGCCGCTGGCGGGCGGCGCCGCTCCGCGCCGGCGAAAGGCCCCGCCGGCCGGCGCACGGTCCAGCGACCACGCCGGACGAGGCCGCCGCCAGCAGCCCGACACAGCGAGCTCACGCGGCGCGCGTGTCATGTCACATCCAGCATTGTCAAAAGTGGTACAAAGGCTGAGCTGAGCTGAGCTGAGCTGAGCTAAGCTTAGCTAAGCCGAGCTGAGCTGAGCTGAGCTGAGCTGAGCTGAGCTAAGCTAAGCTAAGCTAAGCTGAGCTGAGCTCGGCCCCGCCGCTTCTCATCACAGAACCGAGTAAAACCAGTATCGAAAAGCGGTCTCGCGTTATCACAGGGTGGGCGCCGGCGCCCGCTGTACGCCCGCTCCCGCCGGCGGTCACACACGACACTACGCGCTCGGCCAGGCTAGCTACATTGCACGCGCTCACGCCACCGTGTTGTGCGGGTGGCCGGTCTTCTTCACCCGCTGCATCTCCATCTGCAGGAGCGTGTCGAAGTCGAGCGCGCTGTCCCCGCCGCCCTTCATGCCGTAGTAGGCCGGGTTGTTCAGGTCGGCGTCTGCGAGGGCAGCGGCGGCGTCAGCGGCAGCCTGGCCTCGTCCATCCCACGGCCCGACACTTAACATAACCATTCCATATCGCGACGCAATGCCAGCATTGCGAATACCGCCGGAGATTCTGTTAGCCGTCCGTTAACAGGCCGTGACCGTGGCTGGATTGGTAGGGCGCAGGCTGCTGACCGGCCGGCCGGCAGACCGTGTGGTCTCGTGTCCCGCACGCGGCGCTCAGCTGTTGGGCTCGTTAGATACTGCCAAATGGTAAGTCAACCGCTATTAGGATTGGTTTGCTGGAGTTGTGAAGTGTCTTTGCAGCAAACTGCGCCCAGCAAAGATCCGATTCGCAAATCCCCCTTGAGAGCATTCGAGAACAAAGCTCAGCGTTCCACTATCACTGAGGGATGCTCGTGTGGTGCAGTCCGGTGATTCATTTATACACCGCAGGTACTAATGACCACATTTCACGAGTATACGCCGTCCCCTGCGCGTCTAGCGCTGCTTCTAGCTGCTCTGCTCCTACCGAACCCAAACCGTATATAATCCAAACGCGTATGAACAGCACACACGTCCAAGTTACGTGCAAAAAATGTTGCAGCGTTAACTGTGGTAACGGCGGCGAGATAATCACCAGCGTAACGACGCTGATATACACACACATATCAGTGACGGCAGTGAGCAACTGCCTGAACCATTGATAGTGGGTTACACGACATCAGTGCGGAATAAAGTAACACCGGATGACTCCGAAGCCCGAAAATGGCATGACCTTTCTGCAGTCCTGGAAACGACTCTAATCTTTATTTGAAGGAAACAAGATAATGAACACTACATGAAGTAAAACGAATTCATGAGTCAGAGTAATAAGCAACCCCACCTCAGCAAATCGAGGACTCCATAACAAACAACCACGGCCTCCCTTCTCCCCCCCCCCTCACACAACCACCCCCGTGCCTCGCGAGGCGCGCGCCGGCAGCTGCGTACCCTGATCGGCGTACTGGTCCAGGCAGAACTCGCGCCGGCCACCGAACTTCACCTCCAGCTGGGGATAGCGCGCGCTGCCGTTGGCCTGCGCCGCCACCGCCGCGCTGTGCGAGACGTACGTGATGAACGCGTAGCAGCCGTCGCGCTGCTCGCGGTACAGGTCGATGGCCGGGTCCCTGGGGTCAGAGGTCACGTCAGCTGGCGAGCTCCACCCTGCGCCCGGCGCGCAGGTCACGTCGGGAGCGAAGGTCAAAGGTCACGACAGCTAGCGGGTCCCACCCTGCGCCCGGCTTGCAGGTCACGTCGGGAGCGAATGTCAAAGTCCTGACAGCTGGCGAGTCCCACCCGGCGCCCGGCCCGCACGTCACGTCAGAGGCAGGGGTCAGAGGTCATTCCAGAGCGAGGGTGAGAGGTCACGTTCGCTGGTGAGCTCCGCTCGACGCCCGGCCTGCAGATGACCTCAGAAGCGAGGGCCGGAGCGCCCTCCGGAGGCCAGGTCAGTGTACCGGCACGCACCCGCGACTGCCCGAACAGGTACCGCCACGCGAGCGGGCACTGCGGAACTGGAAGTCTATGTTTTCACGTGACAGAACCGTGTAGTGAATTTTTGTAGGCCAGACCCTTCGAAAATATGGCAGACCCACCGCATATTTTTGTCAGCAATCTGTTGTGCAATTTTCGGCATACGCCCCCGATCCAAACGGCGTCTTTCTCTTTGCTAGACGTTCATTCTGTATGCCAGTCTTTGCACATGAATACCACACATTTGCAGGGGTGGCCTCCCTACCTCCTTATGCAAATCATGGCAATGCCGCTGAACCCTAGTACCCGGACATATTCGCGTGCACGTGTGAAGTAGGCGTAGCACATTTCGCCCGCCGGCGCCCTACCTCTCCTTGATCCTGATCTTGGTGATGACGCCGAAGCAGCCGAACATCTTCCTGAGCTCGTCGTGCGTGACGCTGGGCGACAGACCGTTCACGTACACCACCTTGCGGTCGACGGCGTCGCGCTGGTTGACCAGCTCCTCCTGGCGGCGGCGCTCCTGGCGCCGCTGCTCGTCCCAGCGGCGCCGCTCGCGCTCGCGCTGCTCGCGTTGCTCGCGCCGGGACCGGCTGTCCGAGCGCCAGCTGCGCGAGCGCCGCGGCGGCGAACGGCTGCGCGACAGGCTGCGCCGCCGGCCCGGGCGCGGCGCCTGCTCTTGCCGGCTGCAGCACGGGCGGAGACGGCTGATGGTGGCGCACAGACGCCAGCGCGCGTCCAAACGGACACACGGCCGCACGGCCGTACCAACGAGTCGCACCGGACCGTACAGGGTCCCACCGACCGACCGGCACGTGCACTGCGCTGGGCCGCGGCGTTACGGCCAAGCCCACGCCACCTAACTCAACATGGTGATGACAACACGACGCTTGTTATCAAACGGCAAACATTACTATGGCTCGCTGTTTTGAAATCTACAAAACTATCTATGCCGATGCATTGATGAGCTGGATAGGGCACTATCGAACACATCCCGTATCTCCCATGTCTTGTTGACCCAAGCACAGTCTGGCGCTCTACAATCTCACCTACAAGGAACCATGGCCTTGAGATCTGACCTGGGGCCGTCGAAGTCGCTGGGACTGTAGCGCATCGGATCGTCCGGGCTGCGGTACCGGCTGGACGAGCTGTCGCGGCTGCTGGCGCTGCTCGACGAGCCCGACGACGAGGCCGTGCTGCGGCCGGAGCCGTTCGTCCGCCGCGACCGGCGCGACGGCGAGCTGCCGCCGAGCGAGGTCAGGTCACACGCCGGGCCAGTCACGTGATGACACCAGTCACGTGAGTGCGTCAGCTCAACAGCCGCCGAAAAGGGCTCACCATAGCTATTGAACACCGTTTCGTTCTTTGGTGTTAGACGAGTGTCTAAGGTTCGGGGGGGGGGGGGGGATTTTAAACAACCAGCAGGTCGTAGTCAGCGAAATATCTCCGACGGTCTATAATTTGATAAAGATCGTGTAACCAGACGATGACACATTCATGGCAGCCCACTCCCGCAAGTATGAACGAATACGTTCAATCTACCAACATGACTAATTTCACCCAAATCCGTGCTCTGCACTATTCACATTCGTTCATCCACCATATACCCCACTTACTCCACGCGGCGTCAGCAGGTGCTCGCTGTCCCACCCCGCCACACGTGCCCGCTCTCCGCTGCTGCCTCCTCACCGGTCCGACTCGCGCCGCGACGACAGCGCGTCCAGCCGATAGCCCCTGGGCGGGCTGCTGTGCCGCGGCCGCACGTGCTCCGTCTTCTCAACAGCCACCGCCGCCGGGGGCCCGGCCGGCAGCGCCTCCGGGGCCGGCTCCGGCCCGTCATGCGGCGCCGGCGGAGGCGGCGGTGGCGGCGGCGGCGGCACCGGCGGCGATGACGGCGCCGTCGGCGAGCCGCCGCGGCTGCTCAGCGCGCTGCGTCGCTGCCGGTACTCGCTCAGACTGAGCTTCTTGCGGAACGGCGCGCCGCCGGCGGCGGACGCCGGCGGCACGCCCTGCACGTACGGCGGCACCTTCTGCAGCAGCGCCGGTGGCGAGTTCGGCGCGCACTGCTCTAGGTAGCTCGGCACCTTGCACACCAGCTCGGCCTCGGGCGCCGGCGACGAGGCGCCGGAGTTGCCGCGCGAGCAGTAGCTGTGGTCCCAGAGCGCCTGGCGCAGCGGAGAGCCCCCCTGCAGAGCACCGAGCCATGTTGAGACGAGGCGCCCAGTCGCGCTCAATAGCTGGACATGAACAATACGCGACATACAGACACGGTTGACTTAAGAAGTGCGCTGCAGCCGCCGACATCGGGCCGGCTCGCCCCAGCTCTCGTTCTGCCGCTGCGCGCTCGGTCCATGGTCCGCTTCGCGGCGCCGCCACCTCGCTTCGCCTCGACTCGCTCGGTCCTGTGTCGCGGCGTCACTGCGTCCCAGAGGTTCGGACGAGCGAAGCGCCGAATGTTCGGAATACGTGCGAGCGGCCCGCCAGATGGGAGCTCTGTACAATGGATGCCTTCGGCGCATGCGTCATTATTATTTCGTTTCAGTTCAGTCGCTGATTCACATACAACTTTCACAATGGATGGTTGGATCAGCACGACGTACGCGCATTTCCATTCACTCCAGGGGGACGGTGGCACTTCGGTTACGGCGAAAGCCAACGCAATCAAATTGCACTGCATATGAGGGCTGAACGACAATGCGCCTTTATGTCACCGTTTCCGATACTTCCGTCATTTTGCGGGGCGCAAGCACGTGACATGTACGCGCGCACACGGGGCACCCACGCACGCACACGCGTGGAAAGCACTGGACCGCCAACACAGGTATTAACCGGGGGCTTGTGTCTGCGCGGCGCCGGCCACTGGGAGGGAGGCTGGCGGCACCAGCTGGGACCACGAGTGCCCCGATTCATCAGGACCCATCATCGGGCACCAGGGCTGGTGACACCAGTCATCAGGCGGGTCTTTGCACGCCACGTCTCTACCTCCTGGGATTGTCAGTCGCGCCTTTGAGCCAGACTAGCAATGCACGGTCGTGTGCTCAACGCCGGCGGGTATAACCGACGCTAACGCCGCTCGGCCTCTACAGTCACTGGCCTTGGGGAGTGCGTTGCTAACGTTAAGCCAGTGAAAGGTTTAGCAATTTAAACAAATCCAGACACAGACACCTCATATTGGATCACGACCTCCACAGCTGCAGACAGCTCCGAGCGTGCCAGACGTGGACCGTGGACTGTCGACGGCGGCTGGTGGGGGTTGTGGGCCGCCTTTCGTTTGACCTGCGGACTGCGCCTGCCGCACACCGCAATCTGCGTCCGGCTTGAGCACGCAGGTCATGGCCGACAGCCACACCGAGGGCGGCACACAACCGGCAGCTCGCACATGCCGCAGTCCACACCCTACACCGGACCTCCTCCCTCCCTTCAGTCCCCACGGACCCCAGCGCGCATCGATAGCGGCCACAGATCACAGCGTCGTCGCCCACCTCGACAACGGGCGGCAGCGGGTCGGGGACGGCGGACTGCGACGAGCGGCGCACGTGCTTCACCAGCACCTCGCAGCGACCTGAAACAGCGCGGCGCCGCGGTCAGCGGGGAGCGGCGGTGGCGGCGTGCAGCCCGGGCCGCCCGACGGCCTGCAGTGCCGGTCCCCTCTCACCTGGCGCATCCCGCCCCGTCGCCCCGGTACTCACTGCGCAGCTGCGACACCGCTTCCGGCTGCACGGCCGACCGGCCCGAGCCCACGCTCTCCGTCTCGCTGCACGGGCTGCTGACCGACGGCGCCGTGTCGGCGGCGGCGGCGGTGGCGGCAGCGATGGCGGCGGCGGCAGTGGTGACGGCGGCGGTGGCGACGGCAGCGCCCGTCGGCAGGCCGCCGTCGTGCGCGGGCCGGCTGCTCGGCGCGCAGCGGGCCGCGCGCCTCCCGCGCCTTCTTGGTGAGCAGTCGCTTCAGCTTGGGGTCGGTCTGGTCGGTGGCGCGCTGGCGCAGCGACGCGATCAGCGCCGGCAGTGAGTCGCCGTCGACCGTCTCGCCGGCCGGCCGGCCCGGCTCCAGAGCGCGGCCGTCCGGCCGGGTGCGCCGCCGCGCCGCCGAGTCCGCCGGCGTCTGCGGCCGCGATCCGGGCGGCGAGGCGCGCCGGCTGACCGGCGCCGAGGCCACGACTTGGGCGCGCCGCCGGCTCTGCGCTTTCAGTCGCAGGCCGGCTGTCACGCTGGGCTTCAGCAGCGACTGGCCGGCGCGCGCCGTCCGCACCGTCCGCGGCTGCGGCGGGCGCGGCTGCGGCTGTGGCTGCGGCTGCGGCTGCGACTGCGGCTGCGGCTGCGGCAGTGGATCGGACGGCACTGCCGGGCTCACTGGACAGCTCAGCGACTCAATGACTGGCTCCAAGTGTTCCTCGAAAAACGCCAACAAGTCCTCCCGCGACTGAGCCATGATGCCTGCAACACAGCGCACCCCATCGTCGGACACGTTAGTTCTACGGCATGCCGTTTCACCAATGCCAACGGACTCGACGACCAGCCACGAGCAAGCAACGCACTCCAATCAGGCGACGTTAGTATGCATCCAGAGTGGTATCTGCCTCTAGTGTTCAAAAGCCGTGCCCGTGACAGGCCGGGAATGCCGGTCCCGCAGCATTCCAACTCCAAACCCGTATCATACAGGGATTCTCGGCGGATCTACCTATCTACGACGCAGAACAGGAATCACCCAACATTGAAATCACATGTCGTCGGGGACGGAGGTGTGACGAACAGCACATACCGGGTGATCACTTCACTCTACATTGGGACAGACAAGAAGCGTTTGAAAATTTTCGAGGACGTAGAAAAGCTCCGAAATGCATCCGCGTTACGCATGGGTCGGCGTTCACCACATTTACTGCACTGATTGAAGGAATTGATTGCAGTCATGCTTTTTCAGAGCACTTGGCTGTCACAATATATGAAAATGCTATAAGAAAAGTAAGCATACAAACAGCTGTCAATTAACAGCTAAAAGCGCTTTCAGCATTCCATATTGGCTCGCTTTACTAGCCCTCTTGTCTGTGCTGATAGTCTAGATGGTAATCCACCCGTAGCATCTTAACCTTGAAGGGAGTGTTCCACATCTACATGAGGTTTGAATTGAAATAGCCATCTTGAAGACCTTTTTGGTGCTGTTCACAGTCCTGCCCTTCCTACGACATAAGTCCCTCTAGTTTCTGAGCTAGGGACCCGTGAAAATTGGGAGAGGCATATCGGGTAGAGCATTTCAAAATCACCCTGGCATTCATGACATCATAACAACGTCATTTAAATCCTTCTATTACATAAGTCATGCGGCGATCAAGGCCCAGAATCTAATTGTTGAGGCGTTTATATTTGGCGTTCGTGAGCGCGATTTCCAGATATAAAGGCCGCCAATTACCTTTCAATCAATGCTGTGCAAGGTACGATGATGTAATCAAACCCAGACGCTTCTTTTAAAGGTTTGGTCCGAGCCCTTTGAATGGATGGATTTCTGGGATCAGAGCTCACGCTAAGCAGTTCTTGTTGTGTGAACCCTGACCTCTACCACCCGATCGCGCAATTCCATGTCAACGGCAGAATTTGGTGACGAAAGCTTAACCTGCCGCAATGCTCGGCACGATCCGTCCTGCCCTCTAACGTCAAATGACCTTCAGCGTGACCGCTGCCACCGACCGCAGGCCACACCTGTCAAGGGCGAATAGCGAGCGCCCTAAAGCGACTCGAAACCACCCCGCCACGGGCGGGTGGATCGGAAGGCAGGCGCTCTAACCAACTGAGTCACCGGGACGGACAAATGCATTGGGCACATTTACTTGAGAGAATTTCGCTGTCTAGAGTAGTCTGTTACACTTCGAAAGCATACCAATAGCTATAAATGAACTTGTTTCGTCATATCTCATGTTTGCTTCAATATCTCAAAATGTGAAACATTCCCCTTAAGTCAACCCCTTCATGAGCTATGGCTGGGGCGCAGTCACCGCTTTTTTCTCTAGGATAAATTACGGTCATAGACGGAAATATTTAACCGCAACGTTCCCGTTCCATTTTTGAGCACGCAGTATAATTTACGATCGATAGACCTCTGTGAACTTGCAGCATGTCATCTTCCTTTCCAATAACACTCCACACTTCCCGAAAGCCGCTCGGAAATCGCAATATGTCTTGACGTAGACCAAATAATCAGGCTGGCAACATACAAACCTCACGAGCTCCTTTCGAGTTCGCGGCCAGCCATCTGCCGACGTGCTGCCCTCATGACGGGATCACCCGTCAAACAAGCCACGCCGACGTCACGCAGCACGCGCCCGGCCCGCCCGCCCGGTACTCACCGCCGTCCGGCAGCGTCTCCTGGCCGGCCACGTCGTCGAACAGCTGCGTGGCGATGTCGGGCAGCAGCTGGTCGGCCGGCGGCCCCATCAGCGAGCCCAGGTCCATGCCCAGGCCGCTGTCGCCGAACAGCGAGTGGTGCATCTCGCGGTCCAGCGTCTCGCCGACCTGGCCGGTCACACCAGCACGCGGGGTCACGTCGGGCACCTCCTCGGCTACATAGTTGACAATCGCACCGTCTCCTCCACGCGCGGTGGGCTGGAGCGCGCTGTGGTGCGGTACATCAGCCCGGGGTGAACGTGCATCAGGGCGGGTGTACACCGCGCCTGCGGTGTTGTTGACACTGCGCGGTGTGTAATGCCAGGAGCATCCCGCTACTCCCGCGAAGGCGACAACGTCTCCGGCACGCTCCCGACGGAAGACAAGACGAACAAGGCTCTAACCGTCCCCCTCCCTTACGCGAGTTCGCTTCCCTTTCCTGACGTCTTCGGGGCGCCCTGGCGGCCCGCGCCGGACCGCGCGGGGACGGAGGGTTCGGTGTGGGCCGGCCCGCGCCACCCGTGACGACCTGACCTCCCGCGCGCCGCCCGCCGGACCACACGCGGCCGCGCAGGGTCACACTGGATGGGGGCGACCCAGCCCGGTGCAACCCTGCCAGCCTGCTTCTCTATAGTTAGCTATACTAGTCACGCCGTGAGCGTTCGGCCCATCTTACAAGTGACTTGAGCCCGCACTGCACCCGACGTACGTCATCGGTGAAGCTGAAGAACTCGTTGAAGGACATGTCGGTCAGGTCCATGTCGCCGGAGGTGACGGCGCCGAAGAGCGGCTGGCTCTCGGCAGTGTCGGGGGCACGACCGGAAGCCATCTGGCGGCAGACAACAGCGCATGATGAACACATGGCCTGTCATGGAAGTATGGTTGACGATGAGTTGGGGCTGCAGGCGTACCATTGACAGCACGGTTAACATTCGCCACAAGAAGAGGACGCACTTTGAATATCAGGTATTCGCAAGCTTTAGCATTCAATTGATGTTTCCTGTGCTTCAGTTGAAGGAAAAGCCTAAGCGCAGATTCTTCACAGCAGCGGTCTCCAACATGCGAGTCATCAACCACAATGCGTCGTCTGACTTTTTCCGTTGTGTTGCGGAGGTTGCTTGCACATAATGGGCGGACACTACAACGCTTTGTCCCATATGTACTGTCTATATACAACACATTTACATAAAATATGATTCAAAACATGATGTTGACTATTTCCGTAAAAAACTCATCACTCTAGAGAGCAATAATTCCCCTACCATTCGTCCAGGTGTGAATGATTGACACGACCTGGACTGTCTCGGCTTGGCCTCAATGCGTCACACTGCATACGTAACATTTCTAACAACGCAAGCTCGTCACTAGTTTCTGTTTCGTGGTTCTCGTAGAGCAGCTGGACAACACATACCGGCGGCAGGAGGAGGTCTCGCCCTACTCGTCCGGCGCGCGAAAGAAAAGCCGCTCCCCAATGGAGCTTTATAAACGCCAGAAGTAATCGGAGACTTCTTTGCAGACGACACTCAATCCACGTGTGACGCAGGCCACGTGCCGGAAGCCAGAAATGTCCGGGTTCTGAGCCCAGACCACATATCTCCAGACTTCCGTGCTACTGCACTGATCTAAATCCAGCTGAGCTGGGCTGGGTTGGATCCGACTGACCGCCAGTCGAGAGGTTCTGAGTGAATGCTATAACAGGTTTCTGAGTACCAGCCATCGGGCAGAGGAAGCCCAAGTGGAGAATATGAATTCCATGAACACCATATCGACTGCTGCCATTCTCAGTTGATTTACTTTTCCAAAGCAGCGGAGCCGTTGTCAGCGGAGCTCGTACATCACCGGGCTGCGGCTTACACTCACTGGCAGCGGAAGCCGTGTCAGCAAGAAGCCCGTGCCGTCACCGCTGCGGCTACCACTCACGGGCAGGCGGAGCCGTGTCAGCCGGAGCTCGTGCGTCACCGCTGCGGCTACTCTCACTGGCAGCGGAGGCCGTGGTCAGGCCGGCGTCGTGCGTCCCCGCTGCGGCTACTCTCACTGGCATGCGGAGCCGCGTCAGCCGGAGCTCGTGCGTCACCGCTG